TGCTCACCAAGCCAAATGATTGAGATCAATTGCCCATTTGTGAGACTTCACCTTGTGTGTGTGTTTGAATAAATGTGAGAGTTGGTTGAAGGAACTTGTTAATTGATGAGTTATGCATCTTGCTTAAAGGGATAAGAGTGTTTTGATAGGCCTAGAGAAGCTAGAGTATAATAAGAGAGTGTACTCATGCTATTTTCTATGTTTCTTTAGGATGTTAAGTTGAGTATTAGGAAGTGTTTCTTTTGGTTATGAGCTCCCACATTCAAACCTCTTCTCCTATGAGTTCTTGAATGTTCACTTGAGGACAAGTAAAGAACAAGTTTGGGGGAGTTGATATCTTGCATATTTAATAGTTTTAATCTTTCTTTTTGTGCTCATTTCAATCACTTAGATTGCATTTAGAGTCCCTTTAGGTGCATAGCATATGCATGTTTGGTATTTCAGATATGGAGAAGTTCATGTTGAAGATTAAAGAGTTTGGTCAAAGGAATGGAGCACACCAAGGAGGTCGACCGTAGGCGAGCCCACACGGACCAACTCTGGGCCGCGTTTTCGTGCCCGAGAACACCATCTCCTCAACCATCACCCGCGACCTCCACACGCGGGTACAATCAACCCGCACCTTCCCACTAGCCGTGTACCGCAGCCTCCACACGCGGGTGAGCACCAAGCCGCGTATTTCATCCCGAAACGCCCATCCTCAACCTCCACACGCGGGCCATTTACGTGGCCAGAGCCAGTCCGCACCTTATTGTGGGACAAGCACCGCGAAATTCACACGCGGCCAGTACGAGGCCGCGTTTTCGAGCCCGAGGAAGCCGTTTTCTCGACCACAGCACGCGGCCACTTCCCGCGGGCAGAGCCAGTCCGCGGTGAGCATCGAGGTCAACTTTCCCATTAGTTGCTTGGGTCAAACCCGGGTTTGTCGGGTTGACCCTGGTTTAAGTTTTAAGCTACTATAAATACAATCTAGACCTAATCTTTAGCATTATCTTAATTTCTCTCCTATAAACACTTGACATTTGGGTGAAAGTTTATTCCTTTAATCTAAGTTTCATATTTTATCTTGTGTTCTTGAGATTTCCTAAGTGTATCATTGCTTTCTAATCATGATTAACCTTAAATCCTTCATAGGTTTAAGTGTAATCATGGTGATCAGTGAGTAGTCATCTTAGGATTCATGGGTTATGGAGATCAAAGGGTGATTAAGCTAGATCTAAGGTGTTTAAGCATAGATCCATCTTGTTCCTTGCTTGTAGAGTGAATTTAATGTTATTTTAGCGTTGGCCTCTCTAGAATTGAGCTTTAGGTATTTCATGCCCTAAAGGTGTATGATGAAATACCTGAAGCAACTCTTCAATGCTTTTAACATTATTTATCAAAGAGATTTGTTGTTAAAGGTGTTAGGATGGCTAGTAGACTTGATTTTAATGATTGTTTAAATAACATTCAACCTAAGAGATTAGATGCTTGAGTTATCTTTGCAAATGAACATTCATCTAGAGATAGAGTTTGTTTAAGATTGTGTCTAGGCCTGAGGTTGATAGATAGATTGAAAAGCTTCCACCTTTAGATTGAACCTTGATCACCCAAGATCAATTCCCTTATCCCATGAGTTCTCTCATCTCATTTAGAAAGAAAGCTTTCATCTTTATTGCTTATTTAGTAGTTTATTACTTTAAAATCATCTCACCAATTGATAGCACTTAGATTAAGCATGGTCTTGCAATTCCTTTGGTTTATGATCACTTAGAACTGGTTTGACATCCTTTATATTACAACATTTGATTAGGAACCTTAAAAGTCATATTATTACCAAGTGACTTCAGCGAAGATCATCTGAAGGGACTTGGAAATAATGGTGACCAAAAGCGAGGGATGCCATACCATCCAGATTTTCCCAAGAGGAGAGAAGCCATAGTTGTCTACAGAAGACCATCCCGGGAACAGTTGAGAAACAAACTTATTCATCTTGGACTCCTTAACGTGAGTCTTAAGAATGCCGCCAAAAAGAGGTGTATTTTTTCTAAACCATTTTCTTAATCCGCTGCGGTGAGTATACTTATTTAGACCGCGTACATTCCAGCAAAAAATGTCTGTCGACATAAAGATTAAAATTGTTTGGGGCTCATGGTCATGTTACCTCTCAACCCTGAAAACTTCTTCTTGTTATTGACCAGTTAAAAATCCAACTCAAACTTACTGAATTCTCCCTCTTCCAGCTCTGAGTCTTCAACGTCAGAAGAATCTGGTTGAACGTCTGAATGAGATGATTTTGAGAGACCAGACGCGCTTCTTGGACGTGGAGATTGGAGATAAGAGGGAGTACCACTAGTCTCCCCAATCACTTTGTCCTTTTCGGTGCCCAACTTAGAGTGGTGTGCTGTCTCAGTGTGTGTCTGCTCTGTTAGAATCGGAGCAGAGTAGTTGTTTGGTGACCCTACGCTCGGCTGTATCACTTTCCATTGCTGCTTGTCCTTGGATTTACCTATCCTGGTTTTCTTCCCCTTAGGTTCCAGACTATGCTTGAGATGGCAGTTATCAACCACATGGCCTTTGGATTTGCACTGAGAACAGAGCATGGGAGCTCTCTGAATTGACGGGCATCGCTTAGCCGTGTGACCGACCTCCTTACAAAGCTCACAAACCGGTGGCATCCATGGGCTAGAGACCAACACTCTACAATGTCACCAGATTCAAACTAGACGTTTACTGCTTCATGTAGAGGTTTCCGAGGGTCTATGAATGTCCATACCTTTGCAACCTCCAGATTTTTTTTATTTTTGGTCATCGGATGGAGGAATCTAGGATGACCCACAAGACCCGCAATGTGCTCCAGTCCATCTTCATTAAAGAATTGGAAAGGTACGTTTCTGAGCTCCAACCAGGTGGGTGCGGAGGTGAGCTCCGGTTTGATAGGCACTACACCAGGTTCCCATCTATCCACGAACATGGTTTGGCCTTCTATCTGCCATAGCCTCTGGTTTATCACCTTGTTCCTAGTTGCTGCATTTGGAATCATGAAGAGAAACGCGAAACCCTCCATCTTAAATACATAAATATCACGGTAGTGTTTGCTCCAAATGTTGTTCACGATGTTGAGCAAGGTGCCTTGAGAGGGAGGGTCCGAGTAGAACTGCCCCAATACAAAGGATTCCCAAGAATTTTTATTCTTCTCTATTACAGAGTTGGGGATTTTCACACACGCATCACCTGAAGGTAATGTGAAGGCTTCACCTTTTTTGATAACCGCTTTCCTAGCCCCTTAGTGTGATTACACCAATCATCCACCGGGATTTTTGCTGTGGCGTTTTTTTTCCTTTCTCTGCTGGGCATCAGATAGAGAAGGGGGAGAAGGGTTTGCTTCGATCACTTTCCGTGAACTCTTTATTAAATGTTGGTCTTTTTCAGGAACCGACATAGGCGTCTCCGGCTCTGAGACGACTGCTCCGTCAGTCGCCGGAAACGTAGGAGAGGAAGCTAATTGCGAGCTCAAAAAGTTTTTTTGGCACCAGCACTTCCTAGGGGGGAGACAGTTCAGTCTCGCTGGTGTTCTTCTCAACACCGATTTATGTGTCAACTTTATAAAAACTCAAGGGGCTCTGGGGCTTAACATCAGTGCTCACTTGTAATTGTTCAGACGGGGAGACCGTGGTGTTCAAGGGAGGATCCGACAACAGCGTGTCAATCACAACCCTACAAGGGGAAGTTTCAGAACGGGCAGAGTCCAGATCTGGAGAGTCACGGGGCTGTTGAGCATCCTCCTCGACTGGATTGGGGGGGGTCGATTTGTGCATCAGAAAGAGCTTCAGCGATCTCAGACTTTGATTCCTTGGTATCAGAGATCAAATCGACTTTGGAAGAGGCTATGGGAACTACCTTCGCGGACGATTTGGACGGAGATTTTTTTTCAAAGATTTCTTCGGTTTCTTCTTCTTCATTGTACTCGGCGGAGAGGGGGCGGAGTATTGGCTGAGGACCCGGCGTCTTATGAGACGCCGTTGAGAGGCAGTTCTGACCGTTGGTGTCGGTGAGAAATTCGCCTTTTTGTCGCTTCTTTAGAGAGAGAAAGTACCATGGTTAAGGGTACTTGTCAAGATTCTTTTGGATATATAACTGTAAATACTCAGATATTATTCAACCGATGATATTGAAAACATGGTAAGAGTTTCTGAAACTCAGATATTCCTTCAGTAACTTGGAAGTCCCATTAAGGAGATCATTTCTTCTTCGCCAAACTCACTCATCGAGATCGGTGGTTGCCATGTACTTTGTGAGATTCGCCAGATCATAACTGAAACAGGGCAAGAAAATAGAGCATGGCTTATTTGTCTCTGGTCCTAGACAACATCTTTGACACATATCATCCATATTGGATATGTATACCTCGTGTATTAATCAAACAGTATCTCTGTCCCTATAGCTCGTGAAAGTATGCGCCAGAGAAAGTGTTTAATCTTTGGCATCAGGTTTAAACTCAATATTTTATGTTTAATTGCTGGGTTTCCATCTGAAGTTTGTAGGAAGGCTTGATCATTGCAGACATCTCCGGAAGTGAGCCAGTACCCGTCTTGACTGTATATATACACCTGGTGTAGTTCCAAATGACCCTATCTGGTTTTGCCGTTTGTGAAATAGATATAATTTGAATTAGTGCTGCTTCATCTGGGTCGAAAAGGTCATTGATGACATCTTCATTCCATTTTTGTGTTTCCATTGTTGTAGTGATAAGATCTTTAACAAGTAGTTTATATATGGAGATTATAAAAATGAATTTGAAGATGCTATTTTCATAACATTAAATCCACGATTGTAGTTGCGCATGGTGGCTGAGTGTTCCCTTTGGGCTTTGGACCATCTTATTTTTATTTACGTATATTCAATTTGTCATACAACATTCTGGTCCATGAGTTCAAAACAACTTTATTCAATTTTTTCTTACAACTTTGTGACCCATAGGTCCAAGTTATATGCAATAATTAGTGCAACACATCTGTTTTTTACGCCAATTTGCATGTGACATTGCATGTATCGTTAATGTCAGTGGGCGATGAAAGTATGAAAATTTTCCGGTTATTTGGGTCAACCACTCGAAGAACACAAAAGTCGTCTTGAGATGCTTCTTGGTGATCGTTAGAAGAAACTTTGTTGCAATTTGGACGTATTATCTCACCATATGGTTTATTTGTAGACCGTAATATATTATAAGTCCATGTACCTGCCAATGCTCCAATAACCGGTGAAACTATGTATAACCATAAATTCTTATAACATCCCCATATATAAGCAGGGGCCAAGCTTCTTGCTGGATTCATTGAAGCTCCCGAGATTGGCCTGATCAATTTTTCAAAAACGAAGCATTATACTTGCATATTTTGTTATAACAATCATATTAACTTTGTAAAACGTATTCTAATGGGCTTCGATGTAATTAAGTACCCGCTGAACAGTATGTCGAGTAATACGGTTGCACCAATAGCAACGCCTGCGAATGATCTGTTAGCTCGTTTATCAGTAGCTACAGCTGAAATTACAAACAACAAATTGAAAGTAGCGATGAATTCCACTACGAACGTCGCCGTGTTGGAACCTGAAGGGTGTGTTCCCACATAAACATCTCCTTTAAGGCTACAAACATTGTTGTTCAGATGGAACACGAGCCGTAGAGCTTCGGCCGCTAAAGTTGATCCGAGAAGTTGAGCGGCAATATACCCTGGAACCTATATAAAGAGATTGATCATAACTATTATACATACAGTTTAATTATGGCTCTAGTTTTTTTTTCTAAATGGCTCTAGTTTATAAAGTCCTCTCATAGTTTATGGCTCTAGTTTATTACGACATTCATGAAAAATGGGAAAAAGTATATGCACAGTAAAATATGAGAGAACGTTTTGATTTGATTAAAAGTCCTCGGAAAGACATTCCTTTGTGGTTTTATTTATTCATAATGTGAAATCTTCATGGGTGAAGAAAAGTATATGCACAGTAAAATATCATGCATGAATTAATGTATGATTTACGAAACCATATGGTTATTCCATCCACCGCATCATGTCATCTAAAACCCTATATTATTTTTTTAGATGGGTACAATATATAGTAACATTTATAAGAATAACCTAAATTTGATAGTATAGTTTTGTCCTTTCATCACCTGTTTAAAAGGAAACTTTCTGGACGAAGCAAGTGCAATGGAAACAGCAGGATTGAAATGTGCACCGGAGACATGACCAATTGAGTACGTCATAACCATTACGGTTAGACCCCATGCCAAAGCTATGCCAGGAAGTGTCACCTGTTTACCGTACGTATCATTTACCACGATTGCGGAGCAGCCCGCAAATACCAGAGAGAATGTCCCCACGAACTCACCAATCAACTAGCGTATACAACAATACAGCTCTAGTTTTATAGCAATAAAATAAATTAGGTAATTAACCATGGTATTGATCTGCTCGTTTTCAATATTTAAAATACCATAGCTAAGGAAAAGACTAAACAATTAAAATCTCTTAGACTACGTAATAGAAACAAAACTTGTATTTTGTCAAAAAAAAAGAAACAAAACTTCGACCGAACCGATTCAGTCGGTTTGGCTATTATATTTCATAAATGCTGCGTGCATATATACGTTAAATCTATTTTTATGTAACTAAAATATATACTTAATCTTCAATGCGAATAATCAATATCTCGATTAAAAAAAATTACCTTTTGAAGGAAGGATATGGATATAAGAGGACCTGGAGAATCTGCTGACCGGGAATCACCACCGGATTTACCATCTTCAATGTTTAAGATGGTGGTTTGTGTCCGAACAGTAATACCAGAGATCTCGGCCATTGAAGAGAGACTTCTCTCCAAAAATGTTTATGGTTTGCTCATGTGAGAACTCTGCTTTGTGTTCGTTTATAAGCAAATGATGAAGTTGATCTGTATATTCTATACCGCATGACAATTGCATGTTGAAGAATTCTTCTTATAAAAGAGCCAAAACAGCATCATAGTAAGGGCGGATTTAAGGAAGTGTGGCAAGTGCCAAGTAAATCAGTTTTAAGTTGTTTTTACAGAAAAAAAATCAGTTTTAAGTTGTTTTAGTTTATAACTTGGTGTTTCTTACGTACATGCAGGCTTAAACATTTTATAATTACTTATTAATACTCGCTCTGGCCACTGTAATTTGACATTCGGGGTACAGCGACACAGATTAATCCCTTGGGTCTAGGAAACCTTTGGAGAAACTGTGTATAATCAAAAAAAAAATACATGTATTCTTAATTAAAAACTATAATGATAAATTATTATTTATATATTTTTTTAAAAGTTCTAACGTAGTATAAATGTTTTGAAAATTTAATTGTATATTGTACTTATTAGTAAATAAAATTTTAAAATAACTCAATATTCTCTTTTCAGGTATATAAAATTCTATACTGTACTTGATTAATATTTAGTTATCTATTATGTTTTTGAAATTGTAACATTTTTATTAACAGATATTTTATCAGATAATGACACAATAGATATATGAATAATTCTTTAGTTTAAAATATATTTTATATTTTTGTAATTTTTTATTTTCAATTTTAATCACTTATCTAATCAAATATATTTTTAGATTTTGGATAATTCTTGTTATTATTAATTTTAATCAATTATCTAATCAAATAAATTTAAACTCGTTTTTATTATTTAGGTAATTTATAGTTTTTATTATCAAAGTGTTTTAACCGCACATGTGGGCTATAATTAGTTATAGATACATGAATTATTAATTAAAAACTATAGTGATATATTATTATTTATATTTATATTGGAAAGTTTTACGTAATACAAACTTTTCGAAATTTTAATTGTATACTGTATTCCTTGTTAGTTAATAAATCTTTAAAATATCAATATTCTTTTTCAATTATATAAAATTGAAAATTTTACTTGATTAATATTTAGTTATGCATTTTCTGGTTTTGAATACTGTATTCCTTAATAGTAAATAAATCTTTAAAATCACTCAATATTTTCTTTTCAATTATATAAAATTAAGAATTTTAATTGATTAATATTTGGTTATTGTATTTTATATTTTTAATTTATAAAATTTTATTAACAGATATTTTCAGATAAAGACACAATATATATGAATCATTATTTAACTTTAAAATATATTATTGGATTTCGGATAAGTTTTAGTATTATTAATTTTAATCACTTATTTATAAAATAATTTTAAAATTCGTTTTTACCTTATTTGGTACTTTATATATTTTATTCATTAAAGGTATAAACGATATTAACCACTCTAAATTTTAATGTGAGAACTCGGATGCGAAAAATCACTTCACAAATAATATTATAGATTGTTTATTATAAGTAATGACTCTGCCTAAAGCATAGACAAAATGACATATAAACAAATTTACTTCTCAATTAATAGTACATATATATTAGTCTAATTAAAGTTATATATAAAAACTAATTAATGACTCATTCTAAAATCATGAAGAACATTACACATAAACGACTATTTTTTTAGATAATTTTTATAATATTAAGCTATAATCCGATAAATAATGAATTTTGTAATTATTTATTAAATATATTAAACTTTAATCAGTGTAATTAAAATTAAGATTGTTTATTAAAACTAATGTCTCAGCCTAAAATCATGGAGAAATGACACATAATCAAATTTATTTCTGAAATAATAATATACTAGTTCTTGACCCGCGCGCCAGCGCAAATGTATGTTATGTACAAAAATATGATTGTATTAGTTGTAAAAGTTATTCATATTTATGTTTCCTAGGTTACTGAGTTATGATAACGTTGTATCTTGTTCATTTTGTTTAGCGTCTTTTTCTAACTATCAAGTTGTATTTTTTTGATATCATACTTTTCTTTTACTTGGTAAACTAGACAATTGAATGTAAAATATTGGAGTATCTTATTTAGATTGTTTGCATTTTATTAAATTATACTATAAATTTCTGATTGCAGTTATAATTTAAAATTATATTTTTTGATCCGCACACCCGTGCGGATGTTACATATTTGGATCTGTATACAAATATATATATATATATATATATATATATTTGTACAATAATATTTTTTATACTATCAATGAATTATATTTACATTTTACTGTTGTTTTTATTATATATTTTCTTTTTAAAAAATTTAAGTGAATTGTTTATTAAATATATATTTATCACGGATAAATGATTAGTAATTTAATAAATAATTAATTATTTAAAAATTAATATTTAATGTCAATTTTTTATTATTAGTGTACACTAATATTGAAAATTTAAAATTATTTATTAAATATAATATATGGGTGGATAAATACTTTTGGTCAAGAAAAATTGATATAATTTTAATATTGATATATATGTTTAAAATGATTTATATTTTGTTATTTGTACTGAATTTTTTTTATATTATATGATTCTTCGTGTGGATAAAAATTATTAATAATACTGTAATTAAATATTTGACTTTTCTAGTTTTATGTCAATTTTATATTATTTTTATATTAAAATGAAAATTGGTTGCATATATATATGCTAATTAATCATATTAATTTTTACTTTCGTAAGAGTGAAATATGGAAAATACTTTGTGAATTAGCTGAAAATTAAATTTTAGTAGTAATTTAAGAATATTATTGGACTGGATTAGTTTAAATGTATATTACTTTATATATTAGCAAATGTAGGTAAGATTAATTAATTGTCAATTTCGAAAAAAATAATGTTAATATATATCATTTTAAACAATTATTAATGTTTATTATGTATATATTTAATTGATTGTTTATTTCTAAAGAAGATTTTGTTATGATATGTAATTGTTACTATATATGACCAAATGATAATTAATTCTTAAAATAGGATTGATTTGTTTTCAGTGGTATCAGCTGTAATTAAAGTGTAAGTTTAAGGATTAATTCATTTTTGTGCTTTAGTTTTAATAAATTTTAATTTAATTTTTTTAAAAAAAAATTAGTATGCATGTGTATTTTTTCAAAAAACTATTTTATTATTCAAACAAGAAGTGGTCTAAAAAGTCAAACTGGAATAGAACAACAAAATAAACCAGAGATTTCTATAAAAATATTGTGCACCCCTAACTAATGAATCAACAATTGCATTTTGAGCCCAAGATATGTAGCTAAAAGAGCTTGAAGGATTGAAATCATCTTTGTAGCGATAATATCTCTTTCAGTTCTCTTGAGAAGTTTGTCCACGTTTGTCATTCCTCAATCATGGAGATCAAATGCTTACAATCTGATCCAACATTTTGACAAGTAGAATGCGCAGCATATATATGTTTTTCATCACTTAACCAAATACTTTTAACTTCGAGCGTAAGAATGAGACTCTTCTTCTTTGATTTCTATGTCCATAAGTTGGATTTATCCTGATGTGTCTTTTTAAACTCATTCAAATCCACTATATTGCAATGCAGGATTTCGGGAACAATCCACCATACATATGTTTTGTTAACATGTGATATGTCATAGATTTAATCTGATTTTACCTATGAAATATATATGTTTTTATAGCATTTTATATGTATTTGAAATTGTTTTAGAGTCTTTACAGATCCAAATATTTATTGGAAGCAATTGGAAATTTTAAATCATTCTAGAGAATTGGAGAATTTGGTTAAAATAATAGAATCTAGTCATTATTGCATGTCTGAATTGTTTGAATCTGCAACGAGAATATATTTTCTAGCATCTAGACATAGGTAGTCTTTCCAGAGAGAATTGATTTTCTAGATCTGGGTATTAGGGTTCTCGGGTCGGGTTCGGGTCGGGCATGCCGGGTCCGGATCTTTTGGTTCTTAGATATATAGATCCAATAGGATAATTAGACTTTGTCGGTTCGGGTTTAGTTCGAGTCCTATCGGGTCCGGGTCGGTTCGGGTCTTATATAATTGGACCCAATGGAGTAATTAGAATTTATCGGTTTGGATTTGGTTTGGTTTCGGATCGGGTTCGGTTCAGGTCCTCACGGGTCTGGCCCAGAAAATACCTAAAACACACAAAAAAATACCGGAAAATATGTAAATACCCAAAAAATATCCAAAATTTTATCCAAAATCTTACCTGAAGATATATAAATATCCAAAATTTTATCTGATTATTCGAATTATATTTTAAAAACCTAAAATTTACTTAAAACCCAAAATTATACCCGAAAACCCAAATCCGAAACATAAATTAATACTCATGATCATGATACCATAAAATATACTAAAACACATGTATATTCATAATATATACTAGAAGTTTTGAATATTTCGGATACCCTACCGGGTCTTGGGTTTGGGTCGGGTCGGATCCACGATCCGCGGGTCCTCCACATCAAGACCCAATAGGGTAAAATGATCGGTTCGGTTCTTACCTGAACCGCACTTTTTCGGGTCGGTTCTGAGTCGGGTCTTCGGGTCCGGGTAAAATGCCCAGGTCTAGACTTTATCATTGAGTGATTTGAGTTAGGCCTGGGCATTCGGGTAGTCAGGTCGGGTTTGGGTCGGGTCCTTTCGGGTCCGGGTCTTTCGCGTCTAGGAGTTTAGGACGCGATAGGGTAATTTCAAATTTTCGGCTCCGGTTCGGTTCGGGTCGTACCGGGTCCGGGTCGGGTCGGGTCTTAGATAGTTGGACCCATTCGGGTAATTAGAATTTATCGGTTCAGATTCGGTTTGGTTCCGGGTCGGGTTCGGTTCGGGTTCGACCTAAAAAATACCTAAAAATTTAAAAAAATATCTGAAAATATTTATATATCCGAAATTATTCAAAATTTTATTCAAAATTTTTGTTTTTATTATAT